AGCTCTTCAGCTCAAGGCGAGCGCTCTACCACTTGAGCTACAGCGCCACTTCCGGTTTTCTGGTGGTTTATTGGAGATAGGAGTCTCAAGGTCTCTCCTGCCTGGGCTGGCTTTGAACGGTGATCCTCAGATCTCAGCCTCCTGAGTAGCTAGGATTATAGGCGTGAGCCACCAGCGCCTGGCCAGCCAGACATTTTCTATACTCTGATCCTATACATATCTATACGTAAAGCATCCTATGTATGTATAAGTAGATACATGTAAAAATGAAATTATCAACTAAAAGTTGGTGCACTTTATCATACTTTATGCCTCAATTTAAAAAAAAGAGAGAAGTTACCTTGTCACAAGAGTTCTGAAGCTGTCTGTGTAAAGACATCACTTCTTGTTTTAAAGCTTCTTTTTCTTGCTGAGTCACTCGGAGGTCAGATTTGATCCGGGACATCTGAAGATTCACATTCTGCAGGGTGTCTTCTAAATTCTGAACCTGCAGGAGAAGGATCTTGTACTGCTACACAAGAACACTACACAACAATGCTACACAGCAATGCGTAAACAAGGTCAAAAGGACTCCCAGGCCCCGCTCAGTGAAAACGCAGGACATCTTTTTACTTACAGGATGTTATGGTATATTTAGGAAAAGAATAAATTTGCCTGGAACAAAATACTGCTAATATAATTATCTCATGGACATCTACAAGACATTTGATAGAACCAGTAAGGGTGGGCTTGCACCACATAAAACATAGTCCCTGCATCTTGTAGAAACTATGTTTTGGCCCATGGTACTGGTTTATAAAGCCCTTAGTTGAAAATAACAACACAGACTTGTGGACTCCTACTCCACACGAAATCCCAAATATATCTGAATTGAATTTCAATTTGTAAAAGGAATGTTGATAGAGATCTTTGAGTGTAATAGGGAATGAACCTGCTTTAGAAATATGGTTTTTAAGTTGGTAATACTAGTCATTTTTATATAATACCCTCAACCTACCATAGTAAGTACTCTCCCAAGTAATAAACTTGGAGGGAAATATTGTTTAATTTACTCTTCAATACTGCGAAGGTGTGTCAAACTCAGTCCCATAGCGTCACGTGGAGCCTTCTTGGGCCATTCTCTTGGGATGATAAAAAAAAAAATGAGGGAACAATTGCCTTCGTACCTTTTCCTGTGAAGCCACCAGCTGTGACTTTAAGCTCTCACTCTGATGCTCCCAAGACTGCTGCTCTTGCTTCATTGTCGCAATTCTGTTCTCCAAAAGGCTAGATTGTGCCAGCTATTTCAAGAGAAGAAGAAAGGTCGGAGCATATTTGCAAATGTATCTAGTCTCAACTCATAGGTCTTCACTTACACAGTCAAGAGCAAGTGCCAACTGTTTCCGTGGGGGGTGTGGAAGTAGTTTTCCTCTGTTCTACTTCTAATTTTGAAGAGTCTCTTCTTAGTTTTCTCATTTTTTAAATTACTATCAATTTTATTTTATTTTAGTTAGTTTTGGTGTCAGTAATGGGACTTGAACTCAGGGCCCTGAACTCTCCTTTAGCTTTTTCACTTAAGGCTCATAACTCTATCACTTGAGCCACTGCTCTTTCTGGCTCTTCAGTGGTTAATTGTAGATAAGAATCTCACAGCCAGGCACTGGTGGATCACGTCTATAATCCTTGCTACTCAGGAGGCTGAGATCTGAGGATCATGGTTCAAAGCCAGCCCAGGCAAGAAAATCTGTGAAACTCTTATCTCCAATAAACTACCAGAAAACTGGAAGTGGTGCTGTGGCACAAGTGGTACAGCGCTTGCCTTGAACTGAAGAGTGCAGGGACAGCGCCCAAGCCCAGAGTTCAAGCCCCACGACCTACAAAAAAAAAAAATCTCACAGACTTTTCTGCCTGAGCTGGTTTTGAACTAGGATCCTCAGATCACAGCCTCCTGAGTAGCTAGGATTACAGGCATGAGCCACCAGCAGCACCCAGCTTCTATCTCATATTTTCAGGGTGAGAAGTGGTCTGGAAGGCAATTAGAAATCTCAGAGGGTACAGGAAAATATAGACTGACCCTAACTAAAGCAGATGGGAATGGGGAAACAGAAGTGTTTTTGGAGCTGCTAAGAATATACAATGGAAAAAAGCATATAGGAAATAGATACCTAATTATAAAAATATTTATAGGACATAGAAAGTGTTATGTATCATATATGTTAAGTAGCAATCTTGGCTTCATAAGATCTAAGGTCATGCCGGGGGCTGGTGGCTCATGCCTGTAATCCTAGCTACTTAGGAGGTAGAAATCTGAGGATTGTGGTTCAAAGCCAGGCAGGCAGGAAAGTCTGTGAGACTCTTATCTCCAATTAATCACCAGAAAACTGGAAGTGGCCCTGAGGCTCAAGTGGTAGAGTCCTAGATTTGAGCTGAAGAGCTCAGGGACAAGGTCAAGGCCCAGAGTTCAAGCCCCACGACCTCCCCCCCCCCTAAAAAAAAAGATCTAAGGTCATGTGACACCAGTTCAAACACTGTTGCAGCCAGCTCTGGAGCAGTTGGGCTGATACTGGAGGCTTATGGGCCGCTGTCTGTATGGAAATGCTCATGATGGTACCTACAGTACAGTGAAGGTCAAGTCTACTATTTTTGTACCTTATCCAGGCAGTCATTTAATTCTGTACTTAGAACTTCTTTTTCTTTCCGCAGTGCTTCGTTGTAGTTTAATACACTAGACAGCTTTTGCTGTACCTCAGAGACATCAGGACATCTGTGCAGCTGTAAGAAAGACAAATGAGCCTCCTGTCACCTCCTGGCAGTGTTCATAAAGAGGTATTTATAAGTGGCACTTTCATGGCACTCAGATTACCTTATTTGAAGCTATTTCATGGGACATATAAAATCTAGCAGACTTTAATTAACTTTAACAAACTGCTCCCTGCTAGCATCTTTCTATGCATCATTTGACTGTTGAAGCGTGTTTCGAACAACTCAGACAGATGCTGTTAAATAATCATCCCTAGCTTTCCATTTTACCTTCACGATTAAATAACATACTAAAATGTTGCCATCGATTTGTGTTCATGACGCATGTTACTTTTTGCTCATCCTTTTGAATGAGAAAAAAAAATTCTTTTAAAATCTCAGTTTAAGACCACCTGTCATCTCAGCACTTGGGAGGCTGAGGCAGGAGGATTATGAGGTTGAGGCCCGCCTAGGATACATAGGGAGAGCCTATCTCAAAATAGCAGTAATAATAAAAAGACTATGGAATGGTCATAGGCGGTTTGGGTTATCAGTAGAAGGTCTAGTTTAAGGCTGTGCCCTTCCCTCTGGAAGGGAAGTTGATTACAGTAACACAGCACCTGTGGACATGCTGCCTCCTCCTGTGTGCTTTCAAAAATCCAGGCAAAGCAGGCTGCCTCCCCGTTGTGGAGGACTGTCTGTCCCGTACATACACGGTGGAATGTTTCATGGCATCTCTGGCTTTGTCCACTAGATACCAGGCAATACTCTCTCTCAGTGTGTTAACAATAAATGTCCCAGGGTCAGGAGCCAATCCTGACCTCCGACCCTGTTGACAACCACTGGTTGCCGAGGCTGATGGGTTCTTGCATTCCTAATCCTTTCTCATCACTTATAGACTTTTAACTGCCCTCCCTTGTATTTGATTTTTGCCCTTTTTCCTTCCTCTTCTGCTTCCTTTTCCCTTTCTCTCTTCCCTCTCCTCCCCCTTCCTTTCCCCTTCCCATTTCCTTCTGGTGGTCCTGGTGATACATTTTAACTCTTTATTATATTGGGATATGGCAGTATTTCTATTTCCTACCTATATTTAGCTTCAAAATGGCTACACCAACAAGCAGAGAAGGTCAAAGGCTATGTACATATGACCACATGAGATAATGTTAAGCAAAATGTACCCCAAGACAGGGACACAAGTGGTTTTTTTCTCTCTTGCTAGTGTTTTTAATATACTTACAATGCACTATGTGATTCTTTTGTTTCTTTTGTATGTTCTTCCCCCCACGGTATAACCCCTGTTTTCACTGGTTTTGATGCCAGTGTATATATATTTTTGTAATTTGGGGAGGGGAAGGGATACAGCGGAATGCTTAAATGGGGATGCAGGCTGACCCATTGTGATGACGAGATGTACGGGACACTATGTTGAAAACGAACTTTACAATGTTGGGGTTGGGGGGGTTGGGAGGAGGGAAGTTATGGTAGGGGAAAACAAAGGAGGAGGTAACAATGCTCACTACAAAATGTACTCATTACCTTACTCCTGTAACCCCTCTGTACAACATTTATATATATATGTATATATTTATATATATACATATACTATATATATATATATATATATATATATATATATATTGCTACACCAAAATAAGACTTTACAAGTTGATTCCTGTCTTCAGTTGGCAACAAATTCAACATACCTTACAAGGGTAAACAAGTCAGGATCCTAGAAGTTGTACTTTACCTGGACAGTGGTGCAATGAAGGGCCTACACTGCTTTCCTCACTACCTGTCTCTACCCCAAATACCAGCAAGCTCCATGCTATTTGAGCATCTACAGAGCAGCAGGTGCCTTCTGCTGATGCTGTGTGTTTCTAGTCAGTGCAAGAGGTAACACAGGAAAATTGGCTTGAGGTATAAACCATGACATCACAAATAATGGCACAAGCTCTCTAGGTCCAAGCTGTCAAGGCCAATACTACCTTGCTAAGAATCTTGGAGCCAATGAAAGTACTTCTTATCAAATGCATGCAGGCTCACTGTTTTTCTATCTCACTAGGTAGGCCAATGCCTCCGTAAAAGGTACATAATGAGGGCTGGGAAGGTGGCTCAGTGGTAGAGTGCTTGCCTTGCATGCACGAGGCTGTGGGTTTGATTCCTCAGCACCACATAAGCAAAAAGAAAAAAGCCAGAAGTGGCGCTGTGGCTCAAGTGGTAGAGCGCTAGCCTTGAGCTGAACTGAGGGACAGTGCCCAGGCCCAGAGTTCAGGCCCCATGACCAGACCCCCTCCCCCCCCCAAAAGGCACATAATGATGTCCTCATCTCAGTGGTTTTCTCTCAACTCTGTGAGTCTTCTTCTGTTCTCTAGCACAGCAAAGTTTCATAGCAAACATTCCCCATTACTTGGAAGTGATCACTGCCATTTTAGAAGTTGAGCTATATACTTTTAAAAGGCAAAGGAAAGAAAGGATGTTTGAATTAATGAGGATAAATTTAATTGCAATAGCTTTGGGAAACTACACACCACAGAAAACTCCTATGAGTTTAAACTTCAGCAATGTAATGAACTAGTCATGGCAGAATGGATATAGTTTCTATAACCATACCTTTTTTTTTTTAGGTAGGAGTGGCTTGAACCTAGGGTCTCACTCTTTTTAGGCAAGCACTCTACTACTTGAGCTATACCATCAGCCCTTTTTGGCTTTAGTTTTTCAGGTAGAGTTTTCCTTTTACCTGGGGCTGGCTTTGATCTTCTTACCTTCCCCCTAACTCTCATGTAGCTGGGATTATGGTTGTGAACCACCATACTACCTAGCTTGTTTTTTTAATTTAATTTTGTTATTGTAAAAGTGATGTACAGAGAGTTACAGTTATGTAAGTCAGGTAATGAGTACATTTTTTTGGGACAATATCATCTTTTTGAACAGTGTCACCTCTTCCCTCATTTTCTCTCAGTTTGTCCCTCCTTGTGCCACTTCCCCCCCCCCCCATGAAGTTGTTTAGTTCATTTTCAACACAGTGTTTAGTGGAGCTTGGTTTTTTGAAATAGGGTCTCACTAACTTTTTTGACTGGGCTGGCCTCAAACCACAATCCTCTTATCCCAGCCTCCCATACAGCTGGGATTGAAGAGTTGGCTACCTGTGTTCAGCCTACAGTACTTGTTTGTACAAAACCTTGTTGAGTATTAGTATTATATCAGCTATTACAAAAGACACAAATATCCTGAGAGTTTCATAATCCTATTAGGTAAACAAGACTTATAATGAGCCAAAGATCAAAAATACAACACTACCTGGTATAGGCCTAGTGTAAACCTAGTCTAGACTCAATAATTGTACAGTCAAAGAATATAGCCTATAGTCACAGGCTGAACTGGCACAGAAAGACTACTTCCTAATCTGATGATATCAAAATATTAAAGTAACCCAAGGGCAAGTAAATGAAAAATGAAATTGTCCTACTATAAATCAGAAGTGTCCCAACTGAAAGACTTTTACTCAGAATGGAAAAGAAGAGTAAACTAGGACATGCTTTGTAAGGCGTGCCCTCTTTTATAGTCTGAAAAAGGCTTCATAAGTGAGGATTCACTTATGAATCCTCTGCTTACCAATGCATCACACTGGCTACAAGGGACGCAGCCCCTTGGCAGGCAGCCTCACAAACCAGTGAACAGTCAGTCCTAAAAGTTACAAGCAAGAAAGTCATCCTCTCTTAAACCAACTAATGTTACTTTCTCATCCAGCCAGGAGAAGAGGAAACAACAAACAGATTGAAATGGATGGGTGTCATTTATACTAAGAGAATTTCAGTCTACAACATAAATAAGTTACATAACTAGAACCGAACTAGGGGAATTATCAATAGGTTTCCTTATAAATCAACTTGTACTTCAAGTCCTCGGTGTCACTAAGAAATACACTACTGCAGAGAACATTTGCAGGCTGGAAACAACAGACCATTAGACCATCAGGGTTCCATGAACTCTCTCAGTAGCATACAAACTTACTTGGCTCATTTTCTCCAGTTCATCCTTGAGAAGGTGGTTTTCCTGTTCCACAATGTGAGACTGGATTTTAACTTCTGAAAGTTCTGCCTCCAGAGAAGACACTAATGTGGAGGACTAGGAGAAAAATAAAGTCAAATAAAAGACATCCTTGTTGAGCTCACTCAACTAGGTTCACATAGGCAGTATTAAGGAAATGCTATCAATCCAGTGACACATAGTTTTATGCCCATTTGTCCTTATATTCAATGCAGCTAACCAAAAATATCTTGGGTTTTTACTTGGTTGTTTGTCAAAGGATGATTTTACTATTTTTTTCCTATAATTTATTAATGAAAATTTTACGTGAAAGAACTGTTGTTTCTCTAATTAGTTTTTTTTTGTTAATAAGTACAGGTATCTATTGTCTTTGACATTTGGTAATTATTATGTTCTATACTAGCTTAATTTTGTTGATCAAATTGTTCAATCTTTTTTGGCAGTACTGAGTTTGAACTTGGACTTGGTAGGCAGATACTTTCTCCCTTGAGTTACACCTTCAGATCATTTTGCTTTCTGCCTGGAGCCAGCCTAGTAGCAATTCTCCTATTCATGTGATCTTCACAGCTAGGATGACAGGCATGCACCATATGTCCAGATTTTTATGGGGTAAAATGTGGGATCTTGAGAAATTTTTGCCTAGGCTGGTTTGAAACTACATTCCTCTATATCTTCTGATCTCCATCTCTCACTAGCTAGGATTACATACAAGAACTACCATGCCCAGCATATTTGGGGAGTATTTGAAAACTGTGTGAAATAGACCTGGGGACGTAGCTCAGTGGCAGAGTGAAACCCTGGATTCAATTCCCAACATTGGGGGTGGGGGGAGGGGAGGAAGAAGGAAGAACAAAAGGATCTTGTAAACAATATTATTCTAACTAACAAGAGCTACCAACAAAGATAAACTTAGACAAGTGTAACTCCCTAATATCTTCTAGCGCATTCCCATTCATCTGTCTATCCCTTTCTTACTCACTCTCTAAAAAATCCATCAAACCATTTGATATCATTTTATGGTTTATCAAGTTTGCACTTGTTTTATACAAGTGAGAAGATATATGTGTATTTCTTTTTTGTGTGTGTGTATGCTGGTCCTAGGGCTTGAACTCAGGGCCTGGGCGCTGTCGCTGAGCTTCATTTTGCTCAAGGTTAGTGCTCAACCACTTATGCCGCAGCTTTTTCTGAGTAGTTTATTGAAGATAAGAGTCTATAGACTTTCCTGCTTAGGCTGGCTTTGAACTGAGATCCTCAGATCTCAGCTTCCTGAGTAGTTAGGACTACAGGCATGAACTATCAATACCTGGCTCATGTATGTTTTCTAACATCCCCCCTTCTTTTTTTTACATGTTTGAAGGCATATTATAATTACTCTTCTTTTTTCACTTAACATTATGTCCTGGGATTCATTTCATATAAATAGATATATTTTTCATTGTTTTCTTCTGCTGTTTATCCATAATATGCATGGACCCAGCCTCATATACGAACATCTGGCTTGCTTCCACTGTTTGGCAATTCTGAACAATTCTGTGTACATGAATCATATTACTACAGTACATCTTTAGGGTAGATGTGTAGAAGTGAGATCACTGGACAAAGGTAAGTAAGCATGTGACTATGTCCGGGAGGGCCAAATCTACCTTCACAAAGATGGTACCAATATAGTATGCACCATCAACGTGGTTTATAGGTGCTTGTTCCCACAGCCTTACCCAAAGAGCACACTGTTACAGTACAAGTTACTGCTCATTGTTTAGGTGAGAAATCATTACCAATGTCAAATTTCCATTTCTGTAATTACAATGATTTTGAATGTAGTTTTAAAGGTTTGAGAGCCATTTTTATTTATTTATTTTTCATGTATCTTTAAAGTTCATTTCTTTTGTCAGTGTTGGGACCTGACCTCAGAGCCTGGGGGGTCTCGGAGCCTCTTTGTGCTCAAGGTTAGTTAGAACTCTACCACTTGAGCCATGGTACCACTTCCAACTTTTTCTGAGTAGTTTATTGGAGATAAGAGTCTCACAGACTTTCTTGCCTGGGTTGGCTTTGAACCAAAATCCTCAGATCTCAGCCTCCTGAATAACCAGGCATGAGCCACCAGCACTTGGCTGACATTTTGTTTTTATATGTCTCAATATCTTTTTTTTTTTTTTGTCGGTCGTGGGGCTTGAACTCTGGGCCTGGGTGCTGTCCCTCAGCTCTTCAGCTCAAGGCGAGCGCTCTACCACTTGAGCTACAGCGCCACTTCCGGTTTTCTGGTGCTTTTTATTGGAGATAGGAGTCTCGCGGTCTCTCCTGCCCGGGCTGGCTTTGAACCGCGATCCTCAGATCTCAGCCTCCTGAGTAGCTAGGATTACAGGCGTGAGCCACCAGCGCCCGGCTGTCTCAATATCTTTAGCAATACCAATTATTTTCTCTGTGGGATATGTTATGAACATTTTATTCTATTTTGTCAGTTGTCTTTTGACTTTTTTCAGCCATTTAAAAAATTATAAGCAACTTTTTATTTTATTACTTCTATTTTGAATCTGTCTTTCTTTATGCAAAGGTTAAAGCCAAATTTGCTCATTTTCTTCTAGTATTTGTACAGTTATATTTTTATATTGGTAATTTTTTCATTCTAATTATCTCAAAACATCTATCCAGTTGTCCCGCTACCACTTGTTTCCAAGTCTACCTTTATTCTAGTAGCCTGAGAAGCTACCTTTGCCCATATAGTAATCACCCTTTGGTATTCGGCTCTATGACCAGTTCAGATCCCAAACTCCTCAGATGCTCAAGTCCCTTATATACAATGGCATTGTTCTGCATATAACTTACATTCTCTTACATACTCATCTCTAGACTACTTATGTCCCTAGCAAATGTAAATGCTATAGTTATTATACTGTACCTTTTAGGGAAAAATAACAAGAAAAAGAAATCTACATGTTTAGTATAGATGCAATTAAAATTATTTTTGATCAGTGGTTGGTTGGATTCACAGATAGGGAAATCAGTTTCCATGTGTCTCTGGGCCAAACTCTAGACTTCTTATTACATTTGTCTCTCCAGAATACATGGTAATATGCCAGTGCCATACTGTTTTAATTATGAAGGCTTTATGCATAAGAAACTTAATACAAATATTTCTTCTCAGGACTTCTTCAATAATAATAATAATAATAATAAAGCAGTAGGGTGTCTGTGGTGCATACCTGCATTTTATACAGTTCTAGCTCCTTTTTCAGATCAGCCTTTTCTTGTTCCCATTCCTCAAATGAACTCTCCCCTGGCTCTTCTTCTTTCTGGCACAGCAGCTCTGCCAGACGCTCATTAAGGTCCTGCAGTTCTTCCTGGTTTTGAGAGTTCTTTTGGCTAAGTTCTCTATTTTCTGAATCCAACTGTTGGTTTTTGGTTTTTAAATCTGAAATCTAATTAAAATGGAAATAAGTTTTTAAAAAAACTTGCTACCCTACTTCAGTTTAAAAAAAAAACAGATTTAGAGGCTAATTGTTGCTTCCTTCTCTATGAAAGTTTAAAAATACATATAAGTAGTAACAGAAATAGACTCATCATTACAAATTCAGTCACATCAGAAGAAGATGAAGAAGTGAGGCATAGTCAGCCCAATCCCACTCTACAGGGACCCGCTGTGTATGTGGAATACTAGAGTACCAGACCATACGTGGTACCCACAGACATATTGATTCTTCTCCCTCTCTCTTTTTAAAGTAAAAAACTGGATCTTTTCATCTTTGGACAGCATGCTTTTTCACTTATAATCTTATAGATGCTTATCTTTCCAACTTATTGTGCTCAGAAATCATATACGCTAAACTTTAAGCAGCTGTAGGATATTTCCTATTGCAACATTTTCCACAATGCATTGATTTATAACTGCATGGTAGTCTCATTATCAATATTTCCTCTAATTATGAACAAACAAAATGATACATGTTAGCATTTTGTATTTAGGATCATTTTATAAAAGCAGGATTGTTGGCTTAGAAGGTATGCATATATACTAACTTATTAGCTAAGTATCTCCAAAATGTCTATCCTTAGTAGTGATAAAAACTTATAAACTGGGCTGGGCATGTGGCTTCATGGTAGAGTGCTTGCCTAGCATACATGAAGCCCTGGGTTTGATTTCTCAGTACCCCATAAACAGAAAAAGCAGGACGTGGTGCTGTGGCTCAAGTGGTAGAGTGCTGGCCTTGAGCAAAAGAAGCTCAGGGACAGTACCTAGGCCCTGGGTCCAAGCTCCAGAACTGGAAAAAAAAAATAACTACTTGGAAGTGGAGCTGTGGCTCAAGTGGTAGAGCACTCATCTTGAGCTGAAGAGCGCAGGGACAGAGCCCAAGCCCAGAGTTCAGGCCCCACGACCGAAAAAACAAAAGCAAAACAACAACAACAACAACAAAAACTTATAAGCCTATCAACAATGTATTTTTCATTCTTCACACCCCTTGTAATCGTTGACAGTATCTGTATTTGTGTTAATTTAATGGGTCAAAAAAAGTTAAACTTCTCTAGCTTTTATGAGGATAACCATCTTCTTACATGCTGTATTATGTGATCATATCAATTGTCTGTTTTTTGTCTGAGTTTTTCCATTTATCTACAAGAGTACAAGATACATTTTAGATGTTAACACTTTGGCTACTTCAAGTGCTAAAAAATTATTTACTTAGTATGTTCTTGTTTTTGGACTGTTTCAGACATGGTCTTTGGTGCTCTTCCTAGGATCTACATGCTTGAAGATTACATAAAATGAGCACTGAGTGGCACCAACCATCTCCATAAATTGTATCTCTGAAGTGATGTGCTGATTTGGTGGCATCCTCTATCTGTGAGATTCTATCCTTAACTCTCTACTTTTAATCATGGTGAGGAACAGGAAGGAGCTAAAATTAATCAAAAGGACACAAGGGCTAGAGCTAGTATTTACAGGTATGGCTTAAGGTATTGCCTGTATGTTCCTACAATTTGTAAAGTTGATATTGAGCTTTTAAGATCTAAAATAGCATATACGTTATTTTCCAAAAACCAGGAACCTATTTTAGAGTTCTAAATGGCAAATTTCCATTTTCAAACTTAGAATTCACAATCTTACCATCATTTATGATATTTATCAGTAGAATTTGTTTATTCTATGTGTTTCAAATAAAAAAGAGCTCTCAGAATCAAGAAATAGTTGGAAATAGTCTCTTTACCTGTTTCTTTAAATTTTCAGCCATCTTTTGAATTGCAGCTTTTTCCTGTTCTACAGTTTCTATTTTTTGCCTAGAAGAACAATGAAAATATAATTTCAGAGGTAGACTTTGACATCTGAAGTTAAATAGTTTTTTGGTCTTTATAAACTGTCTACAGAAAATTTAAGTATAATATGCCTTACCACAATTCTTCCTGAGATCCATTTAATTTCTCTAATTTCAGGCTAGAAATGCTATCTTCTTCATTTAAAGTAGTAATTTCATTTCTCAAAATAGAGTTTTCCTTGTGAAGCTTTTCAGATTCATATCTGCAGTACAGAGATTTAAAGGAAGTTACAAAAAGACAGTCATCAGGGTGTTGTTGGAAAAACTATCTAGTAACTTCCAATAAAATAAGTTTAAAAAGTCCAAATTAGTAGTGTCTTAGTACTTGAAAATGAAGTCATAGCATACTAATTCACTTTGGGGGGAAAGTAAGAACACAACTAAAAGCTGTTAGGGAAGCGAGGCCTAAAAAGCAGGAACATGGAAATGGAAATAGAGCTGTGATGCCGGTCTAGTTGCTGGTTTTCTCAATGGCAGGCATACTGCTTCTCAAGCAAATGATTCTATTGATCTCAGTCTCAATTTTTCCCTGTTCCAAATAGACATGGGCCATGTTACTAAGTTACATGAACTTCTGTTTTAGGCTACCCAGTACCTACAGAAAGAAAATTTATTACATAAACCAAAGGGCCCCCATTGAAATATGTATACCATTGACTTTGTGATTTAATTCAGCTCATTATATTTTGATGTTATGAATGAAAAATAGCCTGAGAAAGAGAAGCACATTCAAATTATTTGCTTTTTATATCAATATTTATATTTATATTATTTATATAACATATAAGTATAATTATATACTTTATTATATATTATATAATAAATATATTTACATTATATATCAAAATTTATATTTTATTTCTTTTTGGTGGTACTAGAGTTTGAACTCAGGATTTCACACTAGGTTGGCACTCTTACAATCAAGCCATGCCTCCAACCCTAGTTTTACTGTTTTTTTTTGTTGTTGTTGTTGGTCATGGGGCTTGAACTCTAGGCCTGGGTGCTGTCCCTCAGCTCTTCAGCTCAAGGCTAACACTCTACCACTTGAGCCACAGTGCCACTTTCAGCTTTCTGGTGGTTTATTAGAGATAAGAGTTTCACATACTTTCCTGCCCGGGCTGGCTCTGAACCTGGATCCTCAGATCTCAGCCTTCTGAGTAGCTAGGATTACAAGCATGAGCTTGTAATCTGGGTGCTGGTGAGTACCCAGCATTGACTGGTTATTTTTGAGATAGGGTTTTACTTTCTGCTGGGAAAACACCTGAACACAACTCACCAATGTTAGGCTTTTAGTCTAGCTGAGATAACAGGTGTATGCACTGTGTCCTTGAGAAAGGGACATAGTAGGATGTACTCCTTTTCCTCAAGAAAGGATTTCATGAATTTTTCTGCCCAGGCTGGCCTTGAACTAGGATCCTTCTAAACTCAGCTTCCTAAGTAGCTAGGATCACAGGCATGAGCTACCAACACCTGGCTATAATGTAACATTTTACTAGTTTTAAAAAACAATATTGAGAGAGGACTACTATAATTCTCTGTCATGAATTCAAGTGGGCAGTCATTAAAATCAGTCTTCATGGGCTGGGAATGTGGCTGAGTGGTAGAGTGCTTGCCTAGCATGCATGAAGCCTGGGTTTCATTCTTTAGTACCACATAAGCAGAAAAGGCCAGAAATGGTGCTGTGGCAAAAGAAGCTCAGAGACAGTGCCCAGGCCTTGAGTTTAAGCCCCAGGACTGGCAAAAAAATAAAAATAAAAATCAGTCTTCATTCTTTTGTCTTCATTCCTTAAGCACATTTATTAGAATCTGGTAACTCCTGAGTAAAACATGTTCTAAGCTAAATTCTCATTGTTTATTAGGGTATTAACATGCACTTCAAGTAATATCAGTGAAAAACCTATAAGCCACAAACATTTTCCTTTATTATTATAAGACGAGTTCTTAGCTACCAAATGAGTTAAATAATACACAAAAGGCATCCACTCTCATATAATGTGTTTCATCAAAATGGAGAAAGTAAATGTTGAGCAACATAGTATCTATCCATCCAAATAAAGTGCTAGAGAAAGACCTCTGTTGATTATATGTGTGGCTATGCAGCGAACACTGGCCATTCCGAACTTTCACACCCCAACAGGCATCGTTTATTTGCTATGAGGAAGGGAATGCCTACTAGGGAAGGTTATTCTACTTGTTAATATTACACAGAAGCAGAAGGAAGTCTCCAATATTGCTCACTTCTTGGAGACCAACAAGTTAGTTTCTCTAAGCAGGGCAAGCAGCAGAAGTTAGATGGGCTCAGGTGATTTGCGGGCTTCTGTGGAGTCTAGAAGGCGCATACATTACCTCAACAGTTCAACTTTCTGTTGCATTTCACTGCATGTGATCTGCAGGTCATGCATCATGGCCTTCAGCTCTTCCTCCTTCTCTCCCTGAGAAGAGGCATCTTTCTGCTTAACTAAAGTGGTGACTCGCTCCCTTAGCTTTCTAGTCAGCTCCTGTAGCTTTTGTTTCTCCAGTTCTAACTCTGCTAGTGTGGCCTGATGCTGAAATTGAGGGTCTTGAAGGCCTCTGATGGCAGGGTTTTCCTCCAGTGTACCTCTGGGCTCTTCGTGGTGTGTCTGCAACAAAAAGAACTCTGGGCTTTTCTTGGTTCTGTGTAACCAGGCAATTTCATGGGCTTTGACTTTTGCCAAGGGCTGTGTGCTTCCCTGCTCTTGGCACTGAGTTTCTTGTTTCCATTCTTCTACAAGATGGTGCATGCGTCTATCCTTGGGAATGCATTCTTCTGGCAATTGACTGAGTTCAAGCACCTTCTCGTTGGGCTGGAGTTCCAGGTTGTCTGATTTGGCTTCCCACAAAGAGAAGCTGCAGTCACTGTGTGGGACCGCTCTTTCCCGAAGCTCATCAATCTGCCCTTGCAGTCTCACCACCAAAACATTCAGCTCCTCATTTTCCATCTTGACATCATGGTAATTCTTTTCCAGGCTAAGGAATGTTCTTGTCATTTCCTCCACTTTCTTTAATTCCGCCCGCAACCTGAAAACTTCCGCAGTGAGTTCTTTACTGTTTTCTAAGGCCTTGTCATAGCGCGTTTCCATCACTCTCAGCTCTTCCTGAAGGCAGTCATTTTCTCGACTGGCATCCTCAAATAGCAACCTATACTTGGGAGAAGTCTCGGGGACTCTCTCAAGCATCTTCAGTTTCTTTTTTAGCACAGAGATGTCAAAAAGCAGATCCTGTTTCTTTTCAGAAGCCCGGTCACAGTCAGCACGTAAGATCTGTAATTGTTCTTGGAGCTGACAAATGTGGCTCTTCAAGTCCCAGGATTCAGTCCTGGTCTCATCACTATTTTCAAGCTCAGAGAAACACTCCATGGAAGCTTCAGACTCTTCCATCCTGACCTTGTGTCTCTGATCAGAGCTGGTCTCTGTACTTGTTGCATCCTGAACCTCATTTTCCTGCAGGTCGCTCTGGATGTGCCGTGTAGTGATACTTTTAGCTTGCTTCATTTGGTTTTGTGATAAAAATGGCTGTGACTGTTCTGCAGGACTTCTCAAAAACTCTGTCGTTGGTTCTTCTAAACAAGATGACATTACTGACCCTGGTTCTAATTTCTGCAGCCTCTGTTGCAATCTAGAAATTTCAGTAGCCATTTTTACATTCTCCTTCACTGCACGTTCATGAGCTTTCTGCAGACTGATGAGGACATCTCCATTTTCTTCCAACAGCTGTTCTCCTTGCTCAAGCAGGGACATGCCTCTACTTCCTTCCACCTCCTCCCCTCCTACTGCCTGGTAGCCCCCCTGGAGCCTGGACAGAGATGCCGCCTGCTGTATGACCTTGATTTTATTCTGAAGCCTGGAGATCTCTGCACTCATCTCAGCTCGGTCTCGATCAGCGGTCTCACATGTCACCCTGTGGGCATTCTCTATGGCCAGAAGTTTGGCCATCATGTCCTGCCTCTCCTGGTCATGCTCCATCTGCAGCCTTTCAAGCTGCTGGCTTGCCAGCTGCTTCGAGGCCCCAGCCTGGCACAGAACCTGCTCTTGCTCCCTTAGTTCTTGTGCATGGGCGCTCTTCAGCGCGAGTATCTGGTCGGTCAGGAGGCTGTGCTGGCTCTCAGATGCATTGCGCAGGTCTTCCAGGTCTTGGAGCAGCTGCTCCCTCTCAACGACCATGCTATTCAAATGTTCCTTATATGTCTTCTCCAGCATCTCCCTCTCCTTGGTCAGGACCAGGGAGGTTGCTTTCTCTCTCTGCAGAGTCTCCCTCAGCTGCTCCTGGACCTCAGCACACTCCTGGGTGAGCTCGTCCTTCTCAAACTCCCACTGGGCTCTGTCCTCCAGCCGCTGTTCAAGGAGCTCCTTCAGTTCTTGTCGGTGGTGCTCCTCCAGGCTCCGGAGAGTCTGTTCGCAGTGCTCAGTGACTTTCTGACAGTCAGCCTGACACTGGGCTTCTATTTCAGAGGTTCTTGTATTACACTCTGTTTCCATTTTTTCCCTAAATGTGGTCAACATACAGCATTACTCCGGAAGCAAGCAAAAACATTTTCCCATGCACAAAGAAAGCTGCCAAATAAACAATCGAAATACTTTCTGAAAATGGACTTAATTCCTACATGATTCACATGTACTGGGATGGAACTCTCCCTCCTTTCCTCCCTCCCTCCCTCCCTCCCTCTCTCCTTCCCTTCCTCCCTCCCTTCTTTTCTTCCTTCCTTCTTTCCAGGCATTGAACTCAGGGCCTCCCTCTTGCTAGGCAAACACTCCACCATTTCAGCTATACTACCCAATTCTTTTGCTTTTAATCTGCTTTCAGATAGGGTCCTGCTAACTTTGCTCAGGTGAACATGGACCATGATCTTACTACCTCTGCCTCTTGAGTAGCTGGGATTACAGGCCTGTGCCACCATACCTGGCCCTAGAATTTCCTTTCTGAGGACTGGCAGCAATAATTAATTTGGAAGCCTTACCTTTCTCTGAAGTTAGGGGGAAATTTATGAAATTCCTTGACATAGGCCTACAGTTGAGAATATGCTTTGAACCAAAGATTTAATTAAAGTGGCACTTCACATTAAATGGTCAAATGCATAATAACCTAACTTGTAATCTAGGAAATATATAACATTCTTTCATTTTAATTAATCAAGTATTATATGACATCAGCCGCCTATGTCATACATATTAATAAATTTACTCTGTTTCTGCTTCTTAGTAAATAAAGTAGCATTAATCAGGACGTGAAGCAGTGGAGCTATGTACCCGGGACTCCACTTGAAGAAAGTGAGTACAATGTGTTGTTTCATAACTCCAGAAAGAAATGTAATTCTGCCCAGAATCTATCTTCTTAATCACTTTCATCAGAAAGCTGCAGTACTGAACTTTTGAGAAAGGAACCATGTGTGGGATTATTCTCCTGTCCAGAACTTTAGGAAGTAAAATCTCAATATCAGGAACACATTCCTCTTTCCAACAAACAAACATCCACAATAAAACCATTCAAAAAACCCACGGGTTGATTTATGTGTAAAGCGGGACAGAATTGGCTGCAAAGTTCACAACAGATCTTCTCAAGCCATGAGACGTTCTTTCTCAGGCCTCTCTAACTTTTAATGTCCAGAGGCAGCCTCTGGGTAGCTCTGGGTAGCTTTCATTTCCCTGGCTCCTTACCTTCCTTCTTGAAGTTCCTGTTGGTGTTTTTCCAAGAGCTCTTTCCTCAGCTCCTCTCTCTCCAGAGCATACTTCTCCACCAGGCTTTGCAGCTGCTCCTGGTGGACCCGCTCTAGGTCCTGAGTCAGGCCTTTCACCTTCTCTTCCATCCAGGCGCTACTCTGAGCCAGTCCTTCCCTCTTCTGGCTAAAGTCTTCCTCCACCTGCTCCAGCCTGGCCTTGAGCTCCTGCTCATGCTGCAGCCTCAGCTCTTCCTGCAGGCGAGTCTTTTCCTCCTCAAAAGCCACCCGCAGTTGTTTTTTCTCCTCCTGGTGCCTGCAGCTGGCCTCCTGGTGGGCCTCCTTCAGCACCTCTGCCTGCCCCTGAAGGTCTGCGATTTCACTTTTCAATTCATGTACTTCTTTTTCCAAGGTGTGCACTTCATGCTCATACTTCTGCCTCATGGTCTCCTGCTCTTTTTCACAGGAGACCCTGGTCTCATCCAGCTGCTTTTCATAATGATGCACCTAAAGGCAGACAATGAGATTACCACAGGTTACTCCATCCAAGTCCACAGAGAAGGAGGTGACAGGGGTAGCAAGCATTTCTATCCGACCAGACAATCTTCAGTTTGCTCATTTTGCTTGAAAGCAACTTAATTAAAAAAACAACACCTTAAGACATTTAAAATCAGGCATGGCATGCTTTTGTCAACTTGGTTGAGTTTTATTTGTTTATGAATATCTATTAAGCACTATGCAGATTTTCACATTGTTTCCAGCTGTAAATATAGGGTCTTAAAATCATTAAATAAATTCAAATGTTTATTAACTCCTAGAAGATACTCTGCAGGTCCCAAGGGGACATACAGCTGGGTAAGATACAGCCCTGCAGTCAAGGAGAAATCAGTCTAGAGTCAGGAATGACAATGAGTGCACTACAGGGCAAAATGCAAAATATAAGAGAGATGGAAAAGAGCTAAAATGACCCAGGCAGTCAGAGGAGAGAAAATGTGCGTTTTGTTGGGAAATTCAGGGGTAGCTTCATGTAACAGGCAACATTTGGCATAAACTTTGAAGGGTCAGGAGACTTTGAGAGGTGGAAAGAAGTAGTTTACATTAGCATGAGCAATCAAGGATGAGTTTGATGGGGAACAGCAATAGAAAAGACTAGGAAGGTAAGATTCAAGGGTTAGGACACCAAGAACTTGTACCTAATCTAATAGGTAATGCTATATCAAAGGGCTTTTTTGATGGCACACAGTGGTGCATGCCTGTAATCAAGCTAGGTTAAAGGCATAAATAGGAGGATCACAGTTCTGGGCCTGCCTAGACAAAGTAAGACCTACCTGAAAAACAAATTAAAAGCAAAAGATTTCAAGAGCAAGTGGTAAAGTTCTTGCTTAGCAAGTGAGAGACTTTAAGTTCAATTTCAAGTAACTAACACACACACATACACACACACACACACACACACACACACACACACACGAGAAAAAGGCTTTTTGTTTTAATTAGTTATATTAGTTAAATCAAATTTTGTAACTGTATGTATATAAACTGTGTTTTCTTGAGGCTTGCAGAGTGCCTTACAAGAGGTTCAATTAATACTTAATTTTTGCTCTACTGTTTCTTTCAACATGCTGGAACTAATACAAGGGCCTGTGGGCTTCATGTTCCAGGAATGCAGGGAAGAGTAGATTACATTTTGGAGAATCTCTCAAGAGGACAAGGCCTGGCTCCCAGACTGAGGAAATGAGTTCCTATCATTCAGCAGACACAAGAAGAAATACATAGAAGTGCTGCTCTGTGAGAATAAACTAAGAATACTCCACATCTGAATGGCTGTCAAGAGTTCAAAGTAATAACACTGAGCCAGGAGCCACAGGCTCACACCTATAATTGAAACTACTCAGAAAGCTGAGATCCAAGGATCTTGAGTCAAAGCCAGCCTGGGAAGAAAAGTTTATGAGACTCTTATTTCCAATTAATCAGTAAAAATGTCAGAAATGGAGGTATGGTTCAAAGTGGTAAAGGGAGAGTCATGAGAGAAAAAGCTACGCAAGAGCACAAGGCCCTGAGTTCAAGCCCTAGTACCGCCACAAAAAGGAAGGAAGGAAGGAAGGAAAGAAGGGAGAGAGGGAGGGAGGGAAAGAGAGGAAGAGAATAGGGGGGAAGAGGGGAGGAGAGGTGAAGTGAGGAGGAGAGCACTTGTTTGATAATGGTAATCGGGACTTACTTTGTCTTCAAGCTCCAGTCTTAGGTGACATATTTCCCTGTGGTGTTGTTCCTTCATCTGTTCGATGACCAGCTCTGCCTCGATGCTCATATTCAGTGGATTACATTCTTCAGAACCAAGCCCTGAAATCACACGAGACCCATTGATTCTGCCACAACTTCTCTCAATAGCACATTCTGGCATCTCAGGACAGGCAGCCAGTCTCACCAAGAAATAATTTTCAGCCTCAACTGCTGTAGATGTGAGCTTTCAGGAAACAATAGGAACCAAGAGAGGTCTCTTTCCAAGAATTAGGGCAAATAAGAAATTAAGGTGAATAGATTCACCCGTGTACAGGCAATATGTCATGCTAATAGAAACTATCTGTTTGGACAATGGATGGAGGTAGGTGAAAATGGTTGATCTGCTCTTAGAGAAAATGTTAATTGGTGAGGGGAGAGCATGACAAACTAACCTGTCTCCATTCAACAACTACTTGGAGTTACAAATTTGAATGACAAGTTAGCAGAGGGGCAATGTGGCAGGGGATGAATAAACCATTATATCTGCTGCTATGTCTTAAGGTGTAACATCATACATCAAGATGTCTGGCATCACTCAACATTACATAAGACTGGCTATTGTTGCAAGAATTTCCTGGAGAGTGGGTGCTTAAATTATGAGCTAAAAACTGTATGCTAGATTAGGAACTTATACATAGACACATTGCGGAGAGGGAGAAAGATTCTGAACTCATCCATGAATCTCCATAAGGACTGAGAATATTGAAAATGTGAAGCAGAGTTGAATGCCAGGGGCTCATGCCTGTAATCCTAGCTACTCAGGAGGCTAAGATCTATATAAGGATTGCAGCTAGAAGCCAGCCTGGGCAGGAAAATTCATGAAACTTCTATCTCCAATTAAGTACCAAATAGCAGAGTGCTATCCTTGAATAAAAAAAAGCTCAAAGGCTCAGGGACAAAGCCTAGACTCTGAGTTCAAGCCCCAGGACTGGCACAAAAAAAAAAAAAGGAAAAAGAAAATGTGAAGCAGAAGTTGAGGGCTAAGATATTGCAAAACTAAAGTTATGCCAACTGTTTCCTACACATCTCTTGAAGAAGAGTACCAAAATGGTAGTGGTATCATTTTTCTGCATGGAGAAACAAGCAAATCGAGAAAGGGACACTTCTCGGGCCTAGGTCTAGGAACTGGATTGTCTTGCCCTGGGATTTCTCTTCAACTATATTAAGGTACCTTCCCAGCTGAGAAGTAATGCATGGGTGTATGTATGCTAGCCTCATGCATCCACAATGAACACATCCAACATTTGGCAAAAAAGCTGCTGAGCTGCATCATACATTCACATGGTTTCAACCCCTCCCTACAAAAAGTAAGCCAAGAATGGAACAGAAGGTACTTAGAGCCCTTATCTTCTCCTTGCTAGTTCCACTGATTCTACTAGAACAGGTAAGTGATAGGAGAAAAGAGCCACCTTTGTAGAACTATTCTCTTACCAAGTTGTATCAGCGAAGCTATGTATAACCCAAGAACTGAGATGAGCTGTTCCTGAAATTCTAACCCATCATACTCAAGAAAAGAGGCAGGCATCAGAAGGGAGGAATAGAAAACAGTGAAAGTAGACCCCCAGTGCTGGTGGCACAGGCCTGTAATCCTAACTACTCAGGAAATTGAGATCTACACGATCATGATTTGAAGTCAGCCTTGGCAGAAGAGCTCAGTAGATTCTATCACCCCAAATAACTAGCTGGGTTGGAGGAATGGCTCAAGAAGTAGAGCACCAGTGAGAAAGCAAGCTTAGCCAGCTCAAGGCCCTGAGTTCAAACCCTGGTACTGCCAAAAAGAAAAAAAATGGAGTGAATGTAGAATAGTTCCCAAACAACTACGCCTCCAACCTTACCATTGCAATCCATAGATGAGCAACTCTTATTTATCTTATTTGCTATTTGGTAGAGACAATCCACACATTTAGCCCAGCCACCCCAAAAAACAGTTATGGGGGGATGGTAGGGGAAAAACAAAGGAGGAGGCAACAATGCTTGATAAGAAATGTACTCATTATCTTGCTCATGTAACTATAACCCCTCAGTACAGTATTTTCACAATAAAAAAACTTAAACAAAAACAAAAACCCAAAAATCAGTTATGGATTTTGTGGCTTGTGGCTCTGCCCATGGCATTCCACTCCAGGCACTGGGAGAAAGGAAGGAATCAGCAAGAGCTCAATGTTTAAATTCTAACACTGCAGAGGCCTAGACTGTCAGATTGGTAAGCAGTATGCTTGCTTGTTTTTTTTAAGCCAAGAAAATACCCTCATGACTTGATTTTTTTGTTCATTCCTTATGCTAATGCATAAGCAGATCACATGGAAAGTCTTAAAAGACTTCGACAGCAACTGAAAATTAGACCATGAGCGACCTAGCTCAAAGAAAGAATACTGCCAGAGTCATTGTTTCCCCACGTTTCCAGAGTTCTGGAATTTCTGCATTCAGCACGCTCTAAACCAAAAGTCAAATACATCTGGAAAGATCATGTCTGGCCATGTTTACCCTGGTCAGGCTCAATGCCACCGCTGTTCAAATCCAGTTCATCACACAGCGAGTTCTTCAAGGGAAGCCTGAACACTTTGCCTTGTGCACGATATTCTTCCAGCTCGGACTGTAGTTCATCCACTTGGTCTTGTAATACCTGATGTTTAAAATCCAACACAAGTCTTATATGTGACATCAAAGAATAAAATTAAACTGGACATCATTAAAATAATTAGTGTGTGTGTGTGTGTGTGTGTGTGTGTGTGTGTGTTGGTCCTGGGGCTTGAACTCAGGCCCTAGGGGTGATCCCTGAGCTTCTTGTCACAAACTAGCACTCTTCTAGCTGAGCCACAGCTCCACTTTTGGCTTTTCTTGGTGGTTAACTAGAGATAAGAGTCTCACAGACTTTCCTGCTTGGGCTGTCTTTGAACTGCACTCTTTAGATCTCAGCCTTCTGAGTAGCTAGGGTTACAGGAGTAAGCCACCAGTGCCTGGCTTGATGGTATATTTTAAAGCACACACACAGCTGATTGCCAGCGTTTTGTGCACATTTGTTTTTACTTAAAAGAGAACTCAGTTCTCAGTTCTACCTTATTGAAAATGTTTAAAAAAGTATTTTTGGTTTAAGAAATAAAAATCCAAATTCCTAAGCTTAGGGGAGTTAATTGAAAAAAACAAACAAGATTCCTGCTCGGGCCAAGAATGTGTGTATCTCTACTAGTAGGAATAGTTTCTAGTTAAAGACAGAGTAGTTTCTGGTTAATCTACATTCTATAAATAAAGGAACATATCTGGAAGAAGGAAAACAAAAACCACCACAAGACAAAACTACATGATATTTTATGAGGTTTGCAATGACCAATCGGGAAAGGCTAATTTTTGAACAAGTACATGAATATAACTACATTGTTTCTCCACTCAGTATGAAAAAGCACTAGCAATTTCTGACCAGCATTCATGTACATGCTTACTATATTCCAACTGTTCTAAGCATGTGACACATATTTGTTCCTTGAACCAATGGTACTTTCTTCACTGACAAGTAGTACCCTGTGGGTGGTACTCCAACTTCTGTATCTTACGAAATAGTGGTTATGATAACCACAGATTCATTGACTTCCTTAGGATCACCCAGGCAGGAAGTGGCAAATCTGGCAGTTGAATCCAGATCCTCCTGGGTCACTAAGTTCTCTCCTGACACTTACCCGGCACTGTTGTTCATACTCATTTCTCATCTGTGCCAGCCTCTCTTCTTGTAGAAAGAATTCAGCACTGCTGGGATCAAGGTCACCAAACTAGAAGAGGGAAAAGACAAAGCCGACATTCTTTTTTTTCCCAAGTGCCCTTTCACCTATCACATACCAAAGGCCTCAGATTTTGGTGTCACCCGGGCTCTTGAATATGAAAGGAATGTGGCATTAAAGGAGAAACGCCACAGGCCAGAAGATGAGAACATTCGAGAATGATGTGCTCAATTCTGGCTGGGATCAATTCTTAGCACCAGAAAAATGTTTTCCCCTATAACCACACCACTAAATTACATCCCTGCAAAGTTACAACTTCCTTTAGGCACCCAAATAATTCACTAATAAGAATGTCCTTGGCATTGCTTCTGTTCTCTTGAGTAAATGACATTTGGAGGACATACCAGGAAATTGGAGTTTGACAGATTTACCTTTTCTGCTAACACATTCTCCAAATTTCGCTGAAGTTTGTTTGTCAGATTCTCATACTCTGCCAACTTCTCTGCATTTTCCAGAAGCTCATTTTCTAGGCGACTGTTTTCCTGAGGAAATTTGGGGGAATTAAATGTGGCACCGATTAAGAAATAGGCAAACAGCTTTGTCTCCTTGTAGGAAGGTACAACAGTGCTCTAGATTGAGAAAACTGGCCCACCTTGAGAGCTACAGTACATTAGAAACAAAAGTAAAGAGGAAAATGTTGGTATCTATCCTAGAATTCCCAAGTCTGCCTCTTAAAAAAATTCCTGCACTAGCCACTAGCAGGCAATGTTGATACCAAGCACTAGAAATATGTCTAGAATAAACAGATGTGTTATTTGAGTGTAAAATGCACACTAGATTTCTCAGTAGTGCTTTTAGTATAATAATGCCTTGTGATACCAGGTTAAGTAAAATGACTTGAAATTAACTTCCCCTTTTATAATGGCTATTTGTAACTTTGAAATAACAAATGTGGTTTGTGTTGTATTTGTACTTGACAGTCCTGAAATAGTATATTCTACATGACAGGAAAACATTCTCAAATTATTGTCAAAGGAAATAAATCTGGTTACAAAATGCCTTGACCAATTGTCAGCAAAAGAAAAAGCTCAGAAAAATTATAAAAAGTAAAGGAGGGTACTAGTGGCTTATGCTAGCTACTCAGGAAGCTGAGATCTGAGGGTCAAGATGCAAAGCCAACTTGGGAAGACAAATCCAGGAGATTCTTACCTCCAACAAGACAACAAGAACCAGAAGTGGAGGTATGACTCCAGTACTACAGCACCAGCTTTAAAAGCTAAATAAGAGCACAAGGCCCAATTTCAAGGCCTAGTACTGATGCGCGCGCGTGTGCGCGCACAGACACACACACACACAGACACACACAGACACACACACACACACCACTCTAAAATTGGTTTTATTTACTGATATTCCAGTTTAGTTTATATTTAATTTATAAATTTATGGGCTGGGAAGGTGGCTCAGTGGTAGAGCGCTTGCTTTGCATGCCTGAGGCCCTGGGTTCGATTCCTCAGCACCACATAAGCAAAAAGAAAAAAGTCGGAAGTGGCACTGTGGCTCAAGTGGTAGAGTGCTAGCCTTGAGCTGAAGAGCTGAGGGACAGCGCCCAGGCCCAGAGTTCAGGCCCCACGACTGGGCAAAAATTAATTTATTTTGGTTTAAGGAAGCAAAAACTATCCATATAACTTATTTATAATTTATATATGTGTGTGCTATTATAATAAAGTAATACATCAACTGAAATTCACAAAAGATTTTGTTTTTTTTCCATTTAAAATGATTTGGATATATATAGTCTTCTGAGGGAAGATATCCATCCAAAATTTTTTTAAACATACAGACATACCATTTGACATATTTTCTTCTCTGATGTTAAAGGATGATTGAAAGTGCATTTGCCAAAAGAATACAGAGCCAGGATCATTTGATATGTTCTAGTTCAGACTCTTACCCAGCAATATGGAGTGAAAAAAGGATGTACTTCAAGCATTTATAAAAAAAAAATTCCCTTCCTTACTTTAGTTATTTGAAGCCCATCTAAAGTTGATACTACACTAATGAGCAATCTCTGTATATCAAGACTCCATATTGCTGTCTGACCCCAGGGAGCTGTATGGACTACCAGGCAGGAGGCAGGGGTGGCTACATCTCAGAGCAATATAGTAAATGCACTGTCTCTGGGCATCCAGAAAGTAGATGCAAAGGGAATAAACAAGTAATCAGACCCACAGTGCTGGGAATGGTAAAGGAACATTAACAGGGCTCAGTCCTTGGGAAACAGAGAACTGCTGGAAGATTCAGAGCTCAGGAGTAGTTGGCAGAGCTGATGTTAGAGGGATATGATGCCAGGCACTGGTGGCTTATACCTATAATCCATACTACTCAGGAGGCTGAGAAGTGAAGAGCACAGTTCAGAGCCTGGCCAGAAAAGTCCATGAGACTCTTATCTCCAACGAACCACCAATAAAGCTGAAAGTAGAGCTGTGGCTCAAGTAATAGGACTTTAGCCTTGGGCCAAAAAAAAAAAGCCCAAGACAGCAACTAGGCCCTGAATCTAAAACCCAGGATTGGCACACACACACACACACACACACACACACACACACACACGGACAAGTTGAGGATGAGGATGGACACTCTTTCAGTGGTCTGACCAGTCGCACTTAAAAAAACAACAAGCAAACAAACAAATGGTATTAATATGATTATAACTGATCTTTAGTAAGGTAACTGTGGCTAGGAGTTGGTGGATCATGCCTGTAATCCTAGCACCTTAGGAGGATGAGATCTGGGATCACAGTTCAAAGCCAGTTTGGGCAGGCTAGTCCATGAAACTATTATTTCCAATTAACTACCAAAAAAATCTGGAAGTGGAGCTGTGGCTCAAATGGTAGAGTGCTAACCTTAAACAAAAAATTCTAGGGACAGCACTCTGGCTCTAAGTTCAAATACCAGGACTGGCCAAAAAAAAAAAAAAAAAGGTGATTGAGCTAGCCACATGAAGTTGGCAAGATGGAAGAAAGGTCTGCCAGGGGTACTTTAGTTACTTAAGAAACTCTGAAGCTAGGTGCCAGTGGCTCACACCTAGCTACTCAAGAGGCTGAAACCTGAGAGTCACGATTCAAAGCCAGCCTGGGCAGGAAAGTTTGTGAGACTCTCATCTCTAATAAAGTACTCAGAAAAAAGCCAGAAATGGCACTGTGGCTCAAAGTGGTAGAGTGCTAGCCATGAACACAAAGAAGCTCACAGATGGCCAGGCCCAGAATTCAAGCCCCAGCACTGGTGAAAAGAAAAAGAAAAAAAGAGAAATTCTGAGCTTGATCAGAAGCTGGGGAAATGTAGGGCAAGGGATAAGTCTGATGGGGTGTTTCAAGGCTTTGATTTGACTGAGAGAGCTTGAGTGAGGATGAGGTGGGACCACTGAGAATTTTAAGTTCTGGGGCTTACAGGAAAAGGTGATGATGCTGATAAGGGAGTAAATCAAGGAGCTGACACAGACGCATAGTTAGGAGAGGGCAACAGGCTCAGTGTATCAGGAGTGGAGTTTCAGGAACAATTCATAATAGAAACAGTAGCAAACATCTCACATGTACTTGTTATTTTTGAACTTTATATCTGTATCTCTCTACCTATCTAATCTGATATGATACCCCTGAGATACATCATCTGATATGACATCCATGCCAAGTCTAGACAGTATTCCTGTATTAGCCATCTGTACCTTATGGAACAGGTTTGAGTAACTTGATCAAAGGCTTTTCCCATACGCAATAGTACGGAGATCAGAGTAAGGCAATCTGTCTCAACCCTATTTAACCTGGTGGGAGAATCCAGTAAGCAAAAGATCTCTTCCCCCGGCTTGCCCCCAGGGCAAAGGAAAGAGGGGAACATATGGGTAGAAAGGCATGTTTGGAAATTCAGAGAAATGGCTCTGTGGGGCAGGGACTGAGCCCATCTGTGTGAGCAGGGGGCCAGACAGGAAAGGACACAGGAGAGACAAACTTGGAGGAGCACTAGGAGAAAGAGGATGTCAGCCAGCTACCACACCACACTAAGGACCCAGTACAACCTCAGGGCAGAACTGGCTACCCCAGTTAGCAACATCAACACATCGGGAGGATGGATACCCCTGAAAGCCATGTCCTTGCAGGGTCCTTGCCATGTCTGCATATGAACCGTTGGTACCAACCACAGAGCAAGCCCTGTGCAGACTTGCTGTCTCACAGAGCCAGGGTCTGTCCAGCAGGGATAAAACAAATAGGAGGATTACCTTTAAAGAGAGGGCAAGGCGGTCCCGAATGAAGTTCTCTTCTGTTTTTGCCTTTTCGATTTCCTGCTCGAGCTCTAAGCGTTGCTTGCCCACCTGCTGCAAGATCTGCTCTCTCTCTTTGCACAGCTCATTCTTTAATGCTGCTATGCGCTCCTTGTACTCCTCATCCAGTTTCCTGTGAGGAGGAAAAAAAATCAAGCAGCCGGGTCAGGTCCCTCTGGGGGTCCCTCTGTGGATCCTCCAAAAATGGGAACCAAGTTTCAGAGGTGGAAAGTGCTGGGAGAAATGACCTCCTGTGTGTGTTGCCATCCTTTAGGCTTGGCCACACCAAAATCTCTACAGCCAGATATAGACAGGGCAGGCAGGTAGGCAACGCGCCCTGGGCCAGCAAGCTGGGCAAAGGACTCAACCTCTCACCCTGCCAGTCCCACCTGAGATTGTACTCATTCCTCCTTTCTATGGCTGCGTGGTGATCATCCACCTCTGAAGCCATCAGAGACTTGAGCTTCTCAGCCTTGTCCAGGTCTGATCGTAGCTTCTCTTTTTCTCTGACCACTTGGTCGACCCGTTCCCTAGAATCAGAAATAAACTGAGTTAATGGGAGACTGTTTCTAAGCAACAAGTTTCTAACAAAAAACAACAACAACAGAAAAAAAAACAAACAAACCAGTCTTGTCTGGCTTGCTTCAATTCAAACCCAAAACCAAGACAACAAAAACCTTCTTAAAACAAAAAGGGCATGCCATGATTCCTTAAAAAAAAAAAAAATCAATAAGCCAAGTTCTAATTTCCCCACAGTTTAAAGGAGACTTGTGCCGTGGGTAGATGAAGAGCAACAGCCACATTTGCACTTGGAATGGAAGGGTGCTCATGGAAGGCATCGCGAGGCTTGTAGATGGTGGGAGAGGGAATACAGCAGGCAAATCTTCTGCTCAACTCACAACAAATGCCGGATCTCAGCCTTGAAGCTGGCCAGAGCTGCCTGGTGAATGCCATTCTTGGTGACCAAAAGTTCATTTTCAAGAGCCAGTGTCAGTTCTGTCAAGTTAACATTTCCATCAAGCCCGAAATCCAAGGCCTAAAAAATAGAACATGATAGAATAAGTTTCAGACAGAATTTGTGAATTCTATCTTCTGAGATCAGAAAATGTGAAGATTATATAAACTCAGAGAACTGAACGTAGTTTAGAAACTCAATGCTTACATTTCTTTAGTGATTTCTCAGGAAGAATATTTAATCTAGAAGGTAACTAATTTATTTTTCAAATATAATTTTTTTTTCAAAATTCAAGTAAAATGATCATTTGTATTTTTACAAACAATACTATCTGGAGTTGAGCGTGGTGGTTTAAGCCTGTAATCCTAGCTGCTTGGAAGGCAGAAGCCAAGTGAATGAGTTCAAGGCTACTCTGGACAAAAAGAAGTTTGTGAAACTTCATCTCAACCCATTGCTGGGCAAGGTAGTGGGGCCAATTATGCCAGCTACAGGGAAAGCACAATGGCAGGGTGCGGTGGCCTATACCTGTCATCCCTACAGATACAGAGAAGCACAAGCAGGAGGATCAAAACCCAGACTGGTCCAATCATAAAGCAAGACCCTACCTCAAGAACAATGAATGTAGAAAGGGGCTAGAGATGTGGCTCAAGTGGTAGAACACCTGCCTGGAAAGCTTGAGGTCCACAGTTTAATCCCCACTATGGGAAAAAATTATCTGGGATTATAAACACACTGGTATAAATTTAATTCTTAACAACCAAGGGTCTGATAAGAGCCTTTCTCATGTTAATAATTTGGGGTTAAAATCACAGAAATGGGCCATTAGACTCCTGGAGAGACAAGGTAAGTCTCTGAGATCTTATGAACAGAATAATCATCAAGGAGAAATGGAACTAAATCAGAGGTATAAAAACAACAACAACCTTTTCAACCCTTCCCAAACGAGCTACTTTTCTCCCCTGTAAGCAACTCACCTTCAGTATCTCCTGGCTGTTCTCAATGCCCTCTTCCTGCCAAGTGTCCAGTATCCTCTCCACAGATGCATGGCCCATCCCATCATCCAGACAGGACAAGACACGAAAGCCAATGGTGCTTGTCTTCGCTGATGGGGTCATGGTACGACGTCCACTCTCATCAAAAGACTGGAGGAAGAAAGATGAGCAAGCTTAGCTGGACTGCAGGCATTTCACCTAGATTCTAGTCAAGACTGAAATTGGTCAGTCCTGACCTCAGAGGGAGCAGGGGAGGGGAAGAAGGAGTCATGCAGTGTCTTTGATTGGTCCCTGTTTCCCAATGAGTCAAGCCTAGAAAGTTTATTTAAAAGAATTGTTATGAGAGTTCTTTTTCATAGACAGACCACATCAGGCTTCTTCCGACCCTGAGCTGATGTCAAGAGGCATAATTATAGACCAGAGATATGGTTCAAACTCAAGGCCACAAGTTCAAATCCTGATAACAGCAATAATAGCAACAACAACAACAGTCAGAAGTATAAGGTTGAGCACTGGTGGCTCACACCTGCAATCTAGTTACTCAGGAGACTAAGACCTGAGGATCTTGGTTTGAAGCCAGTCTGGGCAGGAAAGTCTGTGAAACTCTTATCTCCAATTAACCACCAAAAAGCTAGAAATGGAGATGTGGCTCAGGTGGTAAAAAGGCAAAGCACAGTATCCAGGCCCTGAGTTCAAGCTCTAGTACCAGAACACACGCATGCATGTTTGTGCATGCAGACACAGACACAGACACACAGACACAGACACACACACAGACAAACACACACACACACACAGCATAATTAGGGCCATTCCATTCTAATTTATGGTCATTTCTTAAGCCCAGTCTTTCTTTCCTAATGGTTTAGTCTTCCTTATTCTCCTTGAGCTTTGTACTCTTTCCTTGGAATTTTGTTCAAAAAACAAATTAATACATTAGCAATTGTTAAATGAGTTTAACGTTTCTTTAAAAAATCTTCCCCGCTGGTTTCTCACCTGCATAGAGAGGTGCCTTTTCAGTTGTCTGTAAGGAGTAGATGCTGAAGGTGTAAGAGATTTTCCAGTTTTGAACAAACCATAGAAAAAATCTTCAACACTCATTGTGCCATCGGGACTGAGGTTATGAAATACTTCCTTAATCATCTAGAAAAACAGTAATCACATATTTTAAATACTTCACTCAAAATAATACATGCCCAAAGTATGTTCTGGCCAACAGAAATCAGAACCACTGTTGTTCCTAACACTATAGAATTATAACTTGATGTCCTTTTATTCTCAGTACATTGAATTTATTTCCCTCTATACACACTAAGGATAAAAAAATCCCTTTCTAACATCTCCAGACTCTTGATGCTAGGGATCATGAACCAATACCCCTAGAGGCCTGCAAGGTGGTGGAAACGGATGAAGTTTTAGGATATTGGGAAGTGGTAAGTTGACCATCAAGCCCAATACATGCATCCTGCCCTCCTCAAATGATCTAGATACATCTCTCCATCTGCCAGATGCAGCCAGATCTAGGGATTTATTTATTGGTTCATTCATTCATTCATTCATTTTTGCCAGTAGTAGGGCTTGAACTTAGGGCCTAGGTGCTGTCCCTGAGCTCCTTTTGCTCAAGGCTAATACTGTACCACTTTGAGCCATAGAACCACTTCTGAGTAGTTTATTGGAGATAAGAGTCTTACATACTTTCCTGCCTGGGTTGGCTTTAAACCGCCATCCTCAGATCTCAGCCTCATGAATAGCTATGATTACAGGCGTAGGCCACTGGTACCTGGCTGGGGATTTTTAGAAAACTCTCCCATTTGAAAATTGTGTGCCACAAAATTCCAATTCGTATGACATTGGGCCAATGTGTATGACATTGGGGTGGGAGTTTGCCATTCCTGCTCTCAGCTATCCTTACTTCTGGGAAGCAGAGGTGTGGTCCTAAGATAGTAATCCACTTCCTCCTCAGGAAGCAGTGGGTAACTGTGACCTAACTGTAGCTACAAAATAAAGGATGCCTGAAGTTTACATTGCTTTCACTTGTAAAATTCTTAGATCTCAAGTTCTTTGTTAATGACATCATTTTGAACTCCCAATTCCCTTGGTTTACAGCTAATAAAGTTCTACAGCTTCATGATTTTTCCTCTAAGACAAAACAATAACACAGAGTCAAAGGTATGTTCAGTGAGCAATCCTTTATGCATCTTTACACCAGGGGCAAAGAACTAAATGTGCTTCTCCTTGTCCTAGGTTTTAGGGTCGCTCTCTATGTTTGGCTGCCATTTATTGCAAGAATTGTTTTTAGATAAATAATCTAAGTTTGTGCAATATTTCTTGGGAAATGACCTGTGGTTCTGTGGACTGCCCAAGTTTATAAATTAGGAGAATGAATTAATCTGATGACTCTGAAAAATAAATGGTTACTGAGCTATCCATTGCAAAAGGTAGTCACAAAATATATGATGGTCACCTATAAAAGAGTGGATGCAAAAAAAAAAAACCCAAAAACAACCCAACAACTTTCCTTTCAGCCAGGCTACTTAGAAGCTTCTGAAGAGAAAACTTTCTTAGTTAGGAAAATAATACCACTTATTGCCTAAGTAGGCAGACAGTGTAGTTTCAAATATCATTTTAACCAAAGATCCAAGAGCTTCAACTGTAGCCCCAACCTCTAACTCTTTCTAATCCTTAGTCTTAGCTTTCTGAAAGATGTATCTTAAAATTAATTGTTTTCATTGGTTTAATGGCTATTCATACACTCATCCCTTAATTTTTCAGAAAATGTTAGCCGGGCACCAGTGGCTCATGCCTGTAATTTTAGCTACTCAGGTTGAGAGCTGAGGATTGATGTTTGAAGCCAGCCTGGGTAGGAAAGTCTGTGAGACTCTTATCTCCAACTAACCACCAAAAGCTGGAAATGGAGCTTTGGTTCAAGTGATACAACACCAGCTTTGAGAGAAAAAGCTGAGGGACAGTTCCCAGACCCTGAGACAAGTTCTAGTACCAACACAGAGAGAGAGAGAGAGAGAGAGAGACAGACAGACAGACAGACAGACACAGAAAGGGAGAAGGAGAGAGAGGGAAGGAAAGAGAGAGAGAGAGGCAGAGGGAGAGGGAGAGGGAGAAGGAGGAGAGGGAGAGGGGGATGAGGAGAGAGGAGAAAAGAGAAAAAGAAAAAAAGGAAATGTAAAGCAGGGAGTTTTACCAAATAAAATTATTTGAGGGGCTCTTTCAAGATTCTTTTTCGTACTTTCTAAACAACCAACCATCCTTTTCCATTTCCAAAAGAGCAAGAATGAGACCTAGAGTACCTGGCTGCTCTACATGTCCAAGGCTCTCTTTAGGTCACAAATGAACAGCCTGTTGATTCTCAGTGAGCAAGATTGTCCTGTATCTCCCTCCACCTCAGAACTAGAGATGACACTGGCTTTTCCAAAAAGACCCTAAACTTAGCAGCCTAGGCTTCAAAATAGTCCCCCACCTCAAATGTATGGCCCACCCTGCTTAATTCTTCCACACTCCCACGTCTTGCTCTGTGACTGACACCTCCATAAATACATCTGACGTGGTAGATGTGCTGAGCTAGCCTGTCCAGGCCTCTTGTAACATGTTAGCATAGCTATATGTTCCAAAAGGCTTGGCTATTCTAAACATTTATCTCCACAACACAACACTTTTTGAGAGACAAACTCTGATGAGTGACTTCTTAGGAAGAATGAAACTGGTCTCAGAGGCTGCAGGAAGCCATGATATGGCCATTCCCAGCCTGTGGCCAGCTAAGCCTTCCTGGTCATTAGCAGCCTACAGGTTCCTTCCTCATTGGTATTGCAGAATCAAACCCACTGCAGGCCTCACCTCTCCATCAACACTCTGCAAGCCATACTGCTCACAGATGGAGACCAGCTTCTTCCGGTTCAAGTGGCCGTCGCGGGTGATCCCCAGGTCTTCACAAACTTCTTGCAGTTTCTCTTCTATCCAGTCTTGAGGAGGAGAAGACCCACTCTGCGAGGCATTCAAGTCATCTGGGTTCCAAAACCTTAACTGGCCTGAAATCAAAACAGACACTGTATGGTCTCCCAAGGTATTGCAAAGAGAGGGCTTATTTGCAAAGGAACCTGTAGTTTTGGAAGAAAAAAAATTATATATATATATATATATATATATATATATATATGGGACTATAAATGTTGATCCCACTTGATTTGGTCTTGAGGTCCCAGTGTCATGGAATCATTGTTTTTTGTTTGTTTGTTTTTGGTGATAGGGGGCACAGACACTTTTTTTGCTAAATGGTAATCACACCTGAATAAGAAGCATTTCCTCCTCCAGAACAGCACACAGGGCCTGCTTTACTGCCGCTGAGAATGTAAGCTTAGGCTGCTGTGTGATTACCAGTTATCCTCAAGCTTTTTTTTGTTTGTTTGTTTTGGGTCCGGTCGTGGGGCCTGAACTCTGGGCCTGGGCGCTGTCCCTCAGCTCTTCAGCTCAAGGCTAGTACTCTACCACTTGAGTCACAGCGCCACTTCCAGCTTTTTTCTTTTTGCTTATGTGGTGTTGAGGAATTGAACCCAGGGCCTCATGCATGCAAGGCAAGCGCTCTACCACTGAGCCACCTTCCCAGACCCATGAAGGGTAAGTTTTGTATAGGAAAGATCCTTATCTACTTATTAAACCCTAAGCCTATCCTTTATTAAATGCCCTCACTGTAAGTTTTTCACATACATATCAATGTTTGTATAAGTCCTCACTTAAACATTAGAAAATTACTAGCACAATTCTGTGTGCCTGGATGAACTTTGAAGAGTTGAAGAGATCACTTAGTACCATTTTTGTTCTTTATAAACAGTAGTTAATCCAATTACTGCTCTGTCTTTCCATACTGGAGATCTAGAGACCCTGCTGTAATTACACTTAAACAGTTAATCCAGGTAGGCTGTGAGCTTGTTAATTGAACCTCATCACCCTCTAGTGGTCACAGGACAAACATGTTCTGCTTCTTAAGTACATTTGGTAACTTGCAAGGGACACATTTTAGTAGAATGCAATTAGGTTGATTGCTTACAAATCAATTTGAAAGTCTATATAGACAAAAATTAGTCCATAAGTGGAATGCTATGTTATAATTGCCACCTCTTGCATGGTGTTAATTAGGTGGATTAAAAAACTATGAGCATCGATTAGGAATGGATTTCTTGTTGTTGTAGATCCTGATATTAATTCCTGAGAGTATCTAGGGTAAGATGCAGGAAAGAATCAGAGTGCCCTAGGAATGACGGCCCCTGCCCCTTCCCTCCCCACAGGTACCAAGGAACAGCCAGCTCTTACCTTCTGCTTCGTACTCCTCGCTGCGTTGTGTCTTCCAGCGCTAGAAAAGGCACGGGAGATGATTAGTGTGTTTTTGAACTTCTTGAGAAAAAAAGTCTTATCAGTTCTCACACTACTCCATGGCTCTGAAATCACCACTTTGATGAGTCATGTGACTTTAGGACCCATCAATGCTTTTATCCAGGTGGATTTGCTTTAGTTACCCAGCCAATCAAGAAGGAATACCTACAAACAGACATTGTTATCTGCTGTGTTCACCAATACAGCACAGACTTATCAGAATCTCAACAAATGTATGTCCTTTGCATGTGCAAGGACATTTACCCCACAGCACAACCTGTTTACCTTATTCATGACCCAATCCAAGCTAGGTGTGAGCTGAGGTTCTTTTGGCAACCTAATCACATCCCTTCTTCTCCACCTTCTCAGTACTCCTACAGCTCTTCAGGGACAAGCATCTACAGAGATACCACAGCTCCTTGATTTCCTTAGAAGGCATTGCATATAGCACAGATTCCCCTCACTGTACTGAAAGTCTAGTGAAGAATGTCCAGACGACTCTTGCCAAACAGAAGGTGCCCAAAGGCTGTAACTTGGAATGTTTAAGTTCACCATCACATGAACAGATTAGAAATGCCAGTCACTAATATATATATAGATACTTGCATCAGTAAGGCCCTGTGTGATCTTCATTTTCCATAGTTTTGGTTTTTCTGTGGCTATAATTCATCAGTTCATTCAGCTCACATTTCTACACAGATACTGCCTGGATTAGTGGATGAAGAAGTCTGGGGGTGGCGGTAGGGAGGGTGCAGTGAAGTCAACAAGACTCCTTTGGTCTCTCAATAATCAATTCTGGTCAAATTCAACTGCTAATATGAAACTTTGCATCAAAGCTGGGCTCTGGTGTCCCATGCCTCTACTCCTACTCAGGAGACTAAGAGCTAAGCATCACAGCTCCAATCCAGCCTCAGCAGGAAAGACCATAGACTCTTACCTCCAATTACCCACCAAAAAGCCTAAAGTTGAGTTGTGGCTCAAGTGGTAAGCTAAGGAACAGTGTCCAAGTTCAAGTCCCAGTACCAGCACAAAGACAAACTTTCGATCAATAAAGTCCCATTAATAAAAGCATTCTGACTATGTGCCCTTCCATGTTTCTTTATCCAACAGAGACAATGAAAAGTGAATTAAATGTCTACCTTAGTTTGGCAATGAAAATTGTGAGAATTCATTATTCAGAATGTAAACAATCGAGTTAAACATATTTAAAAATAGTTTATTCACTATACACTATGTTGAAAGTGCTCTATACAACCTGTGGGCAGGGATAGGACAGAAAAACTGGAAGAGAGTGAGGGAAGGGGTGACATTGTTCAAAAAGAAATGTATTTATTACTTCACTTATGTAACTATAACCTCTCTGTACATCACCCTTATAATAATAAAAAAGAGCTTAAAAAGTTTTAAAAAACTCAACAGAGTTTTTTTTCATTATTTTTTCAACAGAGTTTTTTTTTATCTAACAACTATTGGATAAAATAAATCAAACTACAAGCAGGGATGGTGTGTGTGTGTGTATGTGTGTGTGTGTACCAGTTCTGGGCTTGAATACAGGCCTGGGCATGTCCTTGAGTTTTTGTACTCAAGGCCAGTGTTCTACCATTTGGGCCCACCTTCACCTCTGTTTTTTTTGGTGCTAAATTGGAGATAAGAGTCTGCTCACACCAGTGTCAAACTGCAATCTTCTGAGCTCAGTCTCCTGAGTAGCTATGATTACATGCATGAGCCACTAGTACCCCATTTGATTTTTTTTGTCTTAATTACAATATTATGGCTTGAACTAAGGGTCTCACACTTGCTCAAGCTTGTTTGTTCAGATGGTGCTCTATTACTTGAGCCATGCCTCCAGCTTGGCTTTTTGTTGGTTATTTTTGGAGATGCAGTCCCACAGACTTTTCTGCTCAGGTTGGCTTCAAATTACAAGTGTCTGGATTTCAATCTCCAGATCTGCTAGGATCTAGTGTGAATCAAACTTATCTGGCTCAGGAGAATTGGAGAAATGGATGTCAAGAATGCAGCTTTAATCTTTAGTAACAATTCCCAAAGCAACAAAGATGTGTGGGCAAATCAAAGTTGACTTATGTTTGTTCATTTATTTCTTAATGTGTGTTAATGTAGGAAGCAGTGAGTTCAGAGAACTAAGATTCCCCAAGAGACTGTTCCCAGGGTCTGAGGAGTCTGTGGAAATGGGTGCACATTTCTGATTCACTAAGACAATTCGTTCCTGCTGCTTTCTCTGCTCAGTTCTTACCCCTAACTAAGAGGGCCAATGTGGAGATTGCCTGGTGCTGAATCCTTGCTTACCTATTACCTTGGCCTTTGGCAAAAGTTTCTGATCTCTTTTGTCTCATTTATTAATTTATAAAGTGGGAATGAAGTAGCACAAATTTAGAAGAGCAAAAGTAAAGTGTTTACAACTATGCACCTGGCATATAGGAAACACTATAAAATGTTGTGGTGTTTACTGGCTATACGTATAGCTAATATAAACTAAATTTACAATTGCAGAATTTTTTTTCATTACTGTTCTTAGACTTAAATCATTCAACTGGTTAAGCTTGGGGAAAGTCTCTATTAGTCATAGAAATTTGTAAGAAAAATGACAATTCTTCCAATAAAAGGGACAAGTTATATGAGAGGCAACAAAATTAAAGCTGGAGGTATGGTCTAACAATAGAGCAACTGCCTAGCAAACATGAGGCCCAAAATTTAAACTCTGGTACTGAAAAAAAAAGAGAAATAATAAAATGTAATAAACTTAGGGAATGGTTTATCTTAACACCAAAGGTAAATTAAACCACCAAGGGAATCATAGTTATTCTTATTCAATTAATTCAACATAATTCAATTCAATTCAATCACAAGTTTAAAACAGGCCTGTTTTGATGTGATGGCTAACAACATAAATGGATATTATACTTTTGGCAATGAAATGGCTTTATGTATCAAAGCAACAGAAATGTTTATACTACTTCATCCAATAATTCCACTTGCTATCCAAAGACAAGAAAAAAATAAAAGAAAGAAAAACACCATATGCACAAATATGCACACAGCAACACTTTCTTAAACAATCAAGCATTGAAAACAACTTAGATATTCAACAATGGGGCATAAAGCATAATCATCATAATGAAGTCATTAAAAGTATACTGAAAACATCATGTGGAACCATGGAAAAACATCCTAATAAATGAAAAGGCCATAACAAAAACGTGACCTACGATTGACATTGGCAAAAAATATTTATACAAACAAAGACTGGAAGTAAATAATCAATAAAAATGGATATCTTTTCATTGAGGAACCGTGGGAGACACTTTTCTTTTACTTCTATTGTTATAAATGCTGTTTGTACAATACAAGTAGGCATGGCCTTTACTAGTTCTTTGCCCAACTGCTCTCAAATTCTAACCTAATTCCTGTAACTTGGGGGGGGGTCAAAAGGGGGCAGAGGCTCTCTCTCCCTTTGGCAAGCCCCACTCTCCAACACTGCGGCTCCCTCCTGTGCTGTGATGGATGGAGAAGCCTTGATGGGAAGCCCATGTGTGGCTCAGGTAGGAGAAGGGTCCTGCTTCCAAGGCCTCCAAGCTCAGTGATGTGGCAAGATCAGAGACTGTCATCTGACACCTACCTTGGGGACCATCTTGAGACAGTCCAACAATTCACACCAACTCTTAAGGCAAGTGGAAGTGGCCAGATAAAGGTTAATTAAATATATGCTAATCTCCAGCAGTAACAGTTTCCAAACATTCCCCAGGACTCTTTTTAAGAGTCTAGTTAGGCACATTCTGCTAGAAGCAGTAAGCTTATGTTAATGGCTATATTTTCATTCCAAGACACCCCAGATGGACATGGAGTGCATCACCCAGATACACTATGATTTTACTTTTCCACCACGGGTCTGTGCCTTTAATAATTGGGAGGGAGCGGGGAAGCACATGGTGGCTGAATGTTTATGATTAAATTGCGGGGTGTGGGGGGGGGAGATTCAATTCATTCACGGCTCATTTATTTTCATTTCTGCTGCCTGGAGCTGGAGGTTCCAATTAAAAAAGCTGAGAGAGAAGAAGGGGAAGGTAGGTTAGGAGGCTGGATGGATTAGATCATTCAGCTGCTGAAACAGCGCCAATATAAGGAGGTGCCACTCCAGAGCAAGCTTCTTTGATTGCTGATGGCTCCGGCAGAGTGGGGAAAGCCAGCAGGGTGGCATCTTGACAGGGGTCTGCCAGGAACCCTAGATGCAGTGTAATCACGAAAAAGCTCAGGAAGAGTGGGGAGGAAGGGGGAGCCTATTGCTGGAGTGCCCTCACAACAGTGAGTACAAAGAAAAGATTTTCATTTCTTCCCTTGGACATTACTGCAGGTACACGTTACCCTGCAAACTTCAGCTTCTCTTTGGCTCCTGAGGTGAAATCATCAAGTAGCTAAGCACTGGGCCTGGTGGAGACCAGCTTAATTACTTCCTGGGACCCCCCCCCCTTGGTACCTTCCTTCACCTGTGAGACAGGGATGGCATCTGAATGGAACAGGGAGGTGCACTTGGCACTTAAGAGCTCAATTCTTGCTATTGGTTCAGCCACAAGGAGGTACTTAGGGTTGGAACTCTTCACCTTTCTACTGATTAAAAAAATCAGTATGGTGATTTGGGACAAGTAACTAATCACATGTGCCTCAGTGTCTCCCAGGGGTAAGAGAACAGCAATACCAAAAGTGCACTTTGTATCTGGAAAGTATTTTGTCTCTGGAATCATACCTGGTATGACTTAAGTGCTAAGCATCTGTGAAGGAAGGAAGCATTAGTTACTATTCCTGTTACAAGCATGTACCAAAAAAAACCCCCCAAAACAAAACAAAACAAAACCCAAGTTTAAACTTAGGGACCATGCAGCAGAAGGAAACAGTAGACAGTCCAGGGTCAGCCTGAAAACTGACCCAGAAGAGATTCTTAAAAAAAAAAAATCTATAGCTTTGATACAC